GTTAAGGCTAGGGTTGTAACATGATGGATGAAAGGGAATCTCCACTGCAACTTTGGTTTTTTCAGTGTGCTTTACATGCACAGTGAAAGGAAAACATCTTGGGGCCCCCAAATCACTAAACTAAAGGTAAAAGTCAAACTGGAAACTGCTTAGGGCCAGCCTCCCTCCCATTCTATTCAAAGTCACCCCTCTGCTCACTGAGAGAAGTGCATTTCTTTTGGAGAAATATATTCAGCTTTTCACCCTCAAAATAAACTTGAATCTTTTAATGATTATAATGCTGTGAGCCCCCAAAATCTGAGACAGGTCTCAGTTAATTTAGAGAGCGTATTTTGCCAAGGTTGAGGACACGTGCCCATGACACAGCCTCAGGAGGTCCTGACGACATGTACCCAAGGTGGTCAGAGCACAGTTTGGTTTTATACATTTTAGGGAGACATGAGACATCAACCGACACATGTAAGATGAATACTGGTTCAGTCTAGAAAAGCGGGACAACTTGAAGGGGGAGGGAGCTTCCAGGTCATAGGTAGGTAAGATATATGGTTACATTCTTTTGAGTTTATGGTTAGCCTCTCCAAAGGAGGTAATCATGGGCACAGTGGCTCATGCCTGTAATCCCAGCACTTTGGGAGGCTGAGGCAGGATGAGACCAGCCTGGAAAACATGGTGAAACCCCATCTCTACTAAAAATACAAAAATCAGCCAGGCATGGTGGCACATGCCTGTAATCCCAGTTACTTGGAAGGCTGAGGCAGGAGAATCACTTGAGCTCCAGAGGCGGAGATTGCAGTGAGCTGAGATTGTGCCACTGCACTCCAGCCTGGGTGACAGAGTGAGACCCTGTCTGAAAAAAGAAATGCAGCCTGTTGATCTCATGCAAAACTCAAATGAGATACCTTTTTGTTAAGCTGAGACTGCCTAAATATGGAAAGGATGTTAATAAATTTAAAAACCTGATAATTATCTGGGTTATTCAAGAGAAGCCTCATCCTTTTATGAAGGAAATTTGGCTAAGAAAAAAAAAAGGGAAAGCTATTTGATATCTTTTTAAACATATACAGCTAAGTTGCATAGCTGTCTTGTGTCACCATTTCCCTCGGAATCTCTAAACAGAGCCAAATATGGAACCAGAACTCGGAGCAGCAGAACGATGAAAATGGCAGCAAGGCCACAGACAGTAAATTTGCACATGAAGTCTTTTCGAGGGCCCTGAGATACACTGAGCAGAGGCTCTTTGGTCAGTCAAATAAATACATTCAGAAGGAGAAACGTGCTGAAAAATAAGTTTGTAATAGAAACATTAGTAAATATGAGAAACATACCAAGCCCAGTATGTTAGGATAAAAGATGTGTAAGAGATTTTATGAGAAAGCTCATCCAATGTCCCGTTTTCTTCCCACTTTATCAGCAGGAGTCTGCCCAAAGGCAACTTGATTTCTCCTTTTTAGGAAGACAGCAGGTGCCATGGGACTACAGCTCTCCGTGAAGTGAGGAAGCTGATACTTCACCCTGTGTTCTGCTATCCTATGGCACAGCACATCTTGAAAGTAAGCTGTGAAAAGCCAGCCAGCCAGTGGCCAGCCAGGGCCCTTAACACTTTGATGGGCTCCTGCACTTACCCAGCATGATCCTGCAGCAGAGAGCAGTGCACTTTAAAGCACAGACCTGGGGAGTAAAAAGACTTTTTCCTTTTTAATAATTGGGGTAAGAAACCATTAAAGCCATTCAAGAGATTAAATCCACAGTGCAAAGATGGCTATCATGTTTGTTAGGCTGATTAGAGATAAGTACTGCAGAGTCTCCCACAGTCCAGATGATCGCCCTTGTGTCAAGCAAATGCCCTGGGCTGTAAGCTAAACCTGCTTCTGTTTGCTCTGCTCTCGGTGAAGGTGGGAGTGGTCCCTGTCAGACTGTCAGACCTGGAAGGAACTCTGGCAAAGCCACATCCCTCCTCTGAGGCTTGGAGAGAGCCAGAGGGTTTCTGGAGGACCCTGCAGTGGAAGGTAGGGAGAGGGCAGGTCATCAAAAACCATGTCTCCCAGACCAGGCACGGTGGCTCACGCCTGTAATCCCAGCACTTAGGGAGGCCAAGGTGGGCAGATCATGAGGTCAAGAAATCGAGACCATCCTGGCCAACATGGTGAACCCTGTCTCTACTAAAAATACAAAAATTAGCTGAGAGTGGTGGCACATGCCTGTAGTCCCAGCTACTCGGGAGGCTGAGGCAGGAGAACGGCATGAACCCGGGAGGTGGAGGAGTTGCAGTGAGCCAAGATCTTGCCACTGGACTCCAGCCTGGAGACAGCAAGACTTCATCTTAAAAAAAAAAGATCATGTCTCCTAAGTTCCAGAACCACGTGCTACCTGCTTACATTAGATCTTCTGATTCATTCTGATAAAACTTAAGATGCTAATTTCAAGTATATCAAGTTTAAAATCTGAATGTACTGAAACAAAGACTCCCCCCTTTAGCATCTGCTAATTTCCTTAGAGAACTCTCCAATGAATAGATGAATTATGATGCCTCCCTACAATTAAATGCCATGCTGGGAAATGGCTTAGCCCCCTATTTAACCATAAGCAAGTATTCCTTATCTATTAACTGGGAAAAAGAAATTGCAGAATAAACCCATTTCTATAAGTGGTAAGTCTAAGGATATCTTAGCATATGCATAGAAAGATTAGGAAAAATAAACTCCAACCCTTTGATCATCTTTACCCCGAAGGGGTGAAATTGGATGACCCTCAGTTCTAACTCGCACATTGCCATGATGTAAAACATGCAGAGAAATATTGCCATGACTAGAAACAACATAAATAAACTCTTAAAAAGAAAACTTCCAAAACAGAGTTCTTCCTTCTTGTGCCCCCTTCCCTGTAGGAACTACAGAGTGGAGCTTTCCTTTGTAAAGAAATTGTCAAATAATCCTTCTGTCTTCCTTTTTCCAAACCTAAGAATCTCCATTCTCTTGGGTAGGTCAGCTGTGATGGTAGACAAAGTGATATATATTTTCATATACTTTCCTAGAAGAACAAAAGTGCTTTCCCCTCATCATGAAGGCAGTTTCTTTTGGGATTCAAACCCCTGAATTTTAGAACCCTAAAAAGTGTGAGTGAAACTCTCACCTGTTCAAGGCATAAGGATTTAGATATGCTCCTAGTGCTCTGAGCTTCACAAGACAAAGGCAGACATCACCTCAAAGGCACACACAGAAGCATGTGTCAAACGTGTTAGGAAAATCCAATAGTGGTCAATCTGTGCTAGCAAATGAACACAACTCCTAAGATCACACAAGTCATGCATTTTTAAAGGTTGAACAGTGTGAAGTTTTCCTTTTTTAAACAGAAAGTTGGCCAGGCACGGTGACTCACACCTGTAATCCCAGCACTTTTGGAGGCTGAGGCAGGTGGATCACCTGAGGTCAGGAGTTTGAGACCAGCCTGGCCAACATGGTGAAACCCCATTTCCACTAAAAATACAAAAAAGATTAGCCAGCAGTGGTGGCGCACACGTGTAATCCCAGCTACCCTGGAGGCTGAGGCAGGAGAATCACTTGAACCCAGGAGGCGGAGATTGCAGTGAACCAAGATTGCATCACTGTACACCAGCCTGGGTGACAGAGTGAGACTCCAACTCAAAAAAAGAAACAAAGGAAAGAAAGAAAGGGAAAAAAAAGGAAAGAAAGTCAAGGAAGGATTCACTGAAGAGGCAGGACCTGGAGATGCAGCCTGAGTAAACAAAGCCAGATGGCCAAAGGCTGCAAGCTGGGGTAGTCCACGCTGGAGCATCCCAGTCAGTACACATGAATTCCCACCTCACTCCCCACTTCAGTGACCACAAAGACATGGCCTTGGCTGTGCCAAGACCTCAAACCTCCTTCCCTAGGACAGCAGGGTAGCAGCTGGACCACCAGAACTCCCAGGGCCAGTTGTCTCCAGCCTAGAGCACCCTTTTTCATTGACCTTAATGTGGTCTCTGCTGATTATAATTTACCTATATTTTACGGCCTCAAATTATACTTCTGAAACACTGAGGGTTTCTGGGAATGGACTTGCAAAGCAGTGGGGGTGGTGGAGATGCTGAGTAATGGTCAGGAGTCCACTCAGATCCTCTCATGCCTTCTCATTAAATCTCCTTTCCTACACTTTGGGAGGCCAAGGCAAGCAGATCACCTGAGGCCAGGAGTTCAAGAGCAGCCTGGCCAACATGGCAAAACCCTGTCTCTACTAAAAATACAAAAATTAATCTGGCATGGTGGCGAGTGCCTGTAATGCCAGTTACTCAGAAGGCTGAGGCACAAGAAACGTTTGAACCTGGGAGGCGGAGGTTGCAGTGAGCTGAGATTGTGCCACGGCACTCCAGCCTGGGTGACGGAGTGAGACTCTGTCTCAAAAATAAAACAAAATCTCCATTCCTATAATATCCTCAGTAATAGGCTGCCACACTCAAACTAGCAAGCTTTGAAATATATTAAACTCAGGTCACTTATATACCACTTTGTGTCTTGCCAGCCTCAAATTCAGAGATTCTTCATTAAGAGCCTCAGGGGTACCTCTATACTCTATACACAAAATGCAGTTGCATTTCCTTTATTTCTTGCTTTATAATCATTTCCATTTCTATGATTTAGCCAGCATAATTGCTATTGTAACACTCAAAAAGACAATTACATGTACAAACTATGCATTATAGACAGACATATTTGGAGACTGCCTGGTTTAAGGCCATGTGGTAAATACGGAGCTTGAATTATAACTATCTGGTCAAACCACAGAAACCATTATTTTGTGATGCATACAGTTAACTCGAGCCCATAAAAAGCCTTGTGTTTTCTGGGGTGGAGGGTGAAGGGTTGAGAAATTCTTCCAATTATCAGGAGGACTGGAGAGTAAAGCGTACAGATAGGGTGAGGGGAGAATCTCCGACAGCATGTAGATGTCCAATCATACCATGTAAAAAAATGTGTTTGATACTCACAAGGAAAGAAAAACACAGCTTGACGCTGAAAAGCTTTCATTTATAATATGCTGAGCCATGTTTATATCTTGGGAGAAGTTTCATGCAGTGCAGCAACAAAGCAAAATATTTTTTTTAATGCTCCAAAGGTCACTGAGTAGCTCCAGACACCAAGCTGAGAGCCTACAATACAAAATAAAGAGTGATGGCATTTGCACCCTGAGATTTGGAATGGCTCAGCTTGAGAAACCAAGAACTCGTCCTATCCTTGATCCACTCTCCTGTTATCCCCTCCATCACTTCCCTGACACCCTCAAACCACCCTGCACAGAATGGAGAGGGTCTAACAGATGAAGGATTGGAGACACAGGCATGGTGACAGTCACCGAGGGACCACTGAAGGACCTGGACCTGCAGCAATTGCAAAGGACACAAGAGACCCCGGCTCAGTGGCCATGGAAGAAACAAAGACCATTTACCCAGCTTCTGACAAAGAGCCAGGCTGCTCACAACCTTATGCTTCCTCCTCAAGTTTAAGGCAGAAGTTTTCAACCTACTGGAATCACATAAGGAGCTTTAGAAATTCCTGGTGCCTGGCACCCACCTCCAGAGTTTCTGGCATGACTCTGGTGTGAAAGGTGGCAAGCCAAGGTATGTGGAGCAGCCTGAATGCTGGGATTTTTAAAAAGCTCCTCGGATGATTTCTATGTGCAGTCCAGGCTAAGAATCACTGCCTAGCACCTTGCCAGGAAGGAAACAACAGAACATTCTGTTGTTATGGTGATATAGTGACGATTAGGACCGTGCTTCTCAACATTTGATGTGCATAGCAAGCACCTAGTGACCTTGTCAGAATGCAAATTGTGATTGGGTAGGTCTGGGATGAGGCCTGGGCACCTGCATTTTTAACAGTGATGTCTTGCTGTGAACAGAATAGGTTCTCATCTCCCCAAATTTGGCACCATCCTGGAGAGAGGCTCTGCAGAAATGAAAGCATAGTAAAGCTTAATCCCTGTTATTTTAGATAAAGCTTAATCCCCGTTATTCTTCAATGATGTTGAACAGAATTTAATTTCATTGAATAAACTCAGGACATCGTGGACAGTGATATCCATCGAAAGCAAGGCATGTATGACAATGTGTCCCCCTTTATTAAATGGCATCAGTGTGTGCTGGGTTTTTGGAGTCGGGGGGAATGATTTTTGTGACTACTTTTGACGACTTGTCCAACTTTTGTTTTTAACTAGTGGGATGAATGTCACTGTTTCCAGCAGTCCTCCCTTCCTCTAAGTGCCTCTTTTAAATTTGCAGTTGGCAGAAAAGCAAGGTAACCACAATTGTCAGGCCTTCAAGAGCCCAGTAGTTGAGAAGAAAACAGGCTCCGGAGTCAGACTGCCTGGCTTCGAAGCCCAGCCCAGCCCTGCCATGTACCTGCATGTGACCTTGACACTATGCAAGAGCTTGCACAGTATAAAGACAAGCTGGAACAGCTTCTGACAGTGAGTCCTCACACACAGGGCAAACTGAGGCACTCATCAGACAGTATTTGATGCTTTTTTATATCCATCTTTGGTTCCTCAAAGCCTTTTGTAATATCTATTTCTTGTGATGTTTTCTTTATAATATCCATTTTGGATTCAAAGCTCCCTTGTATTGGCATCCCTTTCCTTCTCCCCTTCTTCCCTTTTCAGCTGTGTTCCAGATAGAAGTTGTTGCCAGTCATAAGTATGGGGTTACAATACAGTTTCTCTCTCCCTATGTCCACCCAACCAGGCCAGTGTGATCTGCAGAAAACCAACAATACCAAAACCAATTTTACAGAATTTTTAAAACCCTTCAAATGTTCTCAGAGATAAAAGCCTGTTGATATTATATTCTAAGTTTTTCTCATCATTCAGATTTGGCCAGAACTACACTCCAGTGCATTTTTGTTTGGGGGCAACCTTGCCTCTAAAGGGCATCATCGCCTGCTCTCATACAACCTGCAGTTGGTTCAACAAGTCTGTGGTCTAGGTGGGTTCCCAGGAAGGCAACCTCCGCTCTACCATGCAATTTCACACCACAAAAAAAGTGAGCCATTTATTTGTGGGAAAATTCCAAAATGAAGCAAGGACACATTATCAAGAGCAATCCAAATGAAAGCAAAGAGGCCATAGTCACAGAAAAAGCCACAGCGTGATCTGTGCTGGCTTACAGATGCCCTCCAATCTTCGAGGAAATAGTGCTAGACAAAGGCAGAGGGTTACAAAACTTACATTTGTCTATCTATGAACCTTTCTAAGTTTAAGCCTACCGAAGTTAAAATGGGTATGTTAAAGATGAGAAAATTTTCACAACTTCATCTCCGTAGGATCCTATCTCTGAACAGATCTGTGCCTGTGTTTTTTTCTTTACACCACATCATTTCTTTACCTTCCTAACACATCAAATGATGAATTCCAGTTTCCTAACTTTTCCCTTCCTTTGCCAAAATACCATTATCAGACTTTGTCTCTCTTGCCTCAGAATATTTCTTTTAGACTGTTCTCTCCTCCTCCACTACTGTTTTCCACAGTCATTGTTAAAGCCATCACTATTTAGGAGTCTCCATGAGCTTTGTGGAACAAAACAGCTGGTGTTAAAAGGAAGTTCAAAAATTCATAAGTTCAGGCTGGGCGTGGTGGCTCATGCCTGTAATGCCAGTACTTTGGGAGGTCGAGATGGGTGGATTACCTGAGGTCAGGAATTTGAGACCAGCCTGGCCAACATGGTGAAACCCTGTCTCTACTAAAAGTACAAAAAAATTACCCCGGCATGGTGGCACAAGCCTCTAGTCCCAGCTACTAGGCAGGCTGAGGCAGGAGAATCCCTTGAACTCCGGAGGTGGAGGTTGCAGTGAGCTGAGATTGCACCACTGCCCTCCAGCTTGGGCAACAGAGACTGTTTCAAAAAAAAAAAAAATTATTAAGTTTAATCACTGATATATTCTGCATAGTATACCTGTATAGTGGTATTATACATTTTTAGCCATACATGGAAAAATATAAAGTTATAACTGATTCAGAATACCCTTCAGTGAAAATGGCTTTTTTTCTAGATGTGCATTCCTCCAAATATATGCTATCACTTGATCTTTGAATGTATAAAGTTTTCTACTATACTAATTCAAAACTAACGCTTCAGCTGGGTGCAGTGGCTCATGCCTATAATCCCAACACTTTAGGAGGCTGAGGAGTTCAAGACCAGCCTGGACAATGTAGCAAGAATCCATCTCTACACAAAATTAAATTAGCCAGGCATGGTGGTGCGCTCCTGTAGTCCCAGCTACTTAGGAGGCTGAAGCAGGATAGCTTCAGCCTCGGAGACTGAGGCTGCAGTGAGATATGATCGCACCACTGTACTGCAGCCTGGGCAACAGAGTGAGACCATGTCTCAAAAAACAAAAACAAAAAACAAACCCTAACATGTTGAAATGTGTGGAGAGGTGACTTTCAGCCTACCAAGCGTGTGATAATTGATATGCAAATCAATGAGGAAAGGTAGCAAACCAAGGTAACACTCAAGGGTTATTCTACTGGCACAGGAAGGCTTGTCATGGAAAACTGTAGAAAGGCAGCAGGAAGTGAGTCCTCAATCAACTCCTTGCAATAAAGTCAGCTTCTTAGAAACTGGCAGATTATGCTCATTTCGAGTATCACTTAGGAATGATGACTTGAAAGAAGTTCCAGTTCAACAAAAACTGTGATTTCTGGAGATCAGAAAACCAAGTGACAACTAAAGATGCTTGGCCAAGAAATCCAAATGCTGTAATATAAATAAGGTGATACACAGGTAAGTGACCCAAAGATGAAGATGAGTGACTGTCTCAAAGTCACCTTGAGAATTCAGACATGTGGATGAGGTATTATGGATGGAAAGTCCCACTCCCGGTGTTTGTATTAAAGTGGATCTGCAGGAGTCAAGTTTTCCTCTGTGAGGGGCTAGGCAGTAAACATCTGGGACTTTGGGGGCCAAATTGGGATTCTGTGTGTTCTTTTGCAATGCTTTAAAACCAAAAACGACTCAAACTATTAGAGTACAAGAACAAGCCATGAGCCCTAGTTTGCCAATCCCTGCTTTATACCAAACTCCCAGGGTTAGACCCTGCCTGTTGAGAGCCCCCCTGTATCTCCCACCAGTTCTGTTTACACAGCCTCCTGTGGGGCAACCCACGGAGTTGACATCTGCCCCTGTCATTCCCAGAGGACCAAGGATGAGAAGCTTCACTGCAGATGAGGCAAACAGAATATCCCACAGGAGTGGCCAAGAAAGAAAGCTCAAGAATGGATGTGGTCCCAGTTTCTGAAGTCCTCAAGGGCATGGTAACATGATCTAGTTCTATCACAACCAATAAGGTGACAACATATTCATCCAAGCTTTCACATCGGCTCTTAGCACACATGGATCATACCTTACAGCTAGAAAGATGTGACATTTTGCTTAATGAGGATTAAGTGTGGAGGCATCACCACCACCCCATTCTCTACAGGTGTTTCAAGCTGGAAACTAACTGTTCAAGAAGTGTCACATCCTTATATGATGACAAATCTATAATGCATTATGTGGAGAGTCAAGCAATGTTGGAAGGGCGTGCCTTCTTTAAAATTCTGCTTAGTCCCCGTCGGAAAACATGAGGCTGGCCTAGGTCAGCTGGGCTTGGGGTATTTGTCCCTAAGTCAGGCAACTCTGATGCTGCCATCCACATCACAGGTCACATGACAAAATAACTCACCTCCTCTTTGTAATGCTTTCACATTCCAATAATTCTTGGAAGAAACTTGTGGTACATGTTAAGTTCTTGCCAGCGCCTCTGCAGAAAACCTTCTGTTACCACCGTCCCTAGGTTTTCCTGACTCTGCTTGAAGCTGTGGGATTTCTGTTGCTGAAAGGACGCAGCTGGGCTACCGGAAATTAAGATCTTAACCCCCAACATGTGACATTAATCAAATGTATGTCCAAAACAAGTATCTTAAAAAGGTCCCAAAGGAAATCTTTGGGTCAAAATTCCTTTACTGAAAGATAAAGGGAACTAAAATTCCATGAGGACAGAGAATTTTTGCTGTTGTTGTGGGTTTGTCCAATTTTAAGATATACTCTAAGTGTCTAGAATGGTGCCTGGCAGATTGTAAGCACCCAACAAGTATTCATTGACTAAGTAAATGAAGATTGTTCGTAAGATTAAAATTAGTCAATAGCTTCGCAGAAAAAAAGGACCTCACTTGGCAGAAGAGGAACTGCAGATGTTATAGCTGTTTACTTTTTCATCCCGCAAATAAAAGCAATAATCTAAAACAGAATGTGATCTTTGTTCTTTAGATACTCAACAATGCCCCAAATGCCAGCAGACCCTCTAAGCTCACAAAAGCAGCTCCGGTCCTGCTGAGCAGGAGAACAGCAGGGTTTGGAAAGCTGCTGAGTGAAATGCAAGCCTTCTCCTGAGAAGACAGAATATCTAGAATCAAGAAGGAGGCGTTTGGCTTTTCCGGGTGCACCCACCCCAGCTTCACTTACAAAGGATGAAGTTAACCATAGGAAGTCAGGCAGCAACCAGAGTCGCAACTGGATCTGATCTCAAAGGACACATCAGTGAAAGAGCAGCCTTTTGTGGTTACTGGGTTAAAATTGTTTCCAATTACTCTGCATTGTTTCTCTGAGAGTGAGTGAGAAGTGATACAGAATCTTCCCTCCCTCCTTCCCTCTAACACCTGTTCTTGTGGGAAGGCGGGGGACCCCCTTTAAAACCTTGATCCTCTACTCCAAAGCCAGTGTCTGTGACACAGTTAACACATGGGCAGGAACCCACACGTCCTCATCAGGTGTTATTTAAGATAGCAAGTTCAAGGAGTTAGCGATAGCTGCCAGAATCTAGCACCTGCTACACATTTAGCAATTAAAGTTAAGCAGGTCTAACTGGGAACCAATGAAAACAATGGCAGCATCTCAGAGGTACAGTTAATCTCTGGTTTTTAGAACAGACTTCCTAGCTCAGATTTTAAATAAAGCACATTTGGAAAGGAAGAGAAGTTTTTTGAAGGCCTAACAGATTTCAGTTCAATCTTATTGTTTACTTTTAACATAGTCATTCTGTCATTCAACAAATATGTATAGAACAGCCTCTCTGTCCAGACACAGAGCTAGCCTCTGAGGATATAGTCATGAATGAGAACAGATGGCCCAGAGGGTTGACAGCCCATGCTAGAGATGGCCTAACACAGGAGAGGAGAAGGCCGCCTTCGGCATGCAAGGTGTGTGATTCAGGTCATTCTGCACAAAACCACCACCACCTAGCCCCTGCTCTCTTCTTCACAAGTTTGTTTGTTTTGAGACAGAGTCTCGCTCTGTTGCCCAGGCTGGAGTGCAGTGGCTTGATCTTGGCTCACCACAACCTCCGCTTCCCAGGTTCAAGTGATTCTCCTGCCTCAGCCTCCTGAGTAGCTGAGACTACAGGCGCGTGCCACCATGCCCGGCTAATTTTTATATTTTTAGTAGAGACGGGGTTTCACCATGTTGTCAGGCTGGTCTCAAACTCCTGACCTCCTGATCCGCCCGCCTTGGCCTCCCAAAGTGCTGGGATTACAGGCGTGAGCCACCGCGCCTGGCTAGAGTTCTTCACAATTTTCCTATCATTTCCTCCCTGAACTACATGCCCTGAATGAGCCAACTCTTCACAGAGCTGCCCTCAGTACCTGGCCTTAGCTATGCCAGCCAGAGGACAGGGAAGCAAGCAGAGGAGAGAGAAATCAGAATGGGCCTGGGGCTGACGATCCGATTTCTAGTCTTCTTTCTGCCAGTAAGACCCTTCAAAATCCTGGACAAGGGATGAAAGTGGTGTAACTTCAAGTTCTAGTTCAGGCTGTGCCTTCTACTGGCTCTTATGGCCATGAGTAGAGTAGCTTGGCTAGTCAGGGAGGTAGCAGGAAACAACAATACTCTAATTTTCCCAGGGCACTAGGTTTCTGGGCTCTCCTACATTTCAAAATAGCATCTGGAAACGAGTGAAGTTTCTGGCTGTGGTCTCAAATTGCTCTTTCAAAAAGATAAAGTTCATAAGACTCACAAAATTCAACAAACATCCATTGAGTATCTAAAACATTCAACATGCAGACTTGGCAAGATGTAGTGATGACGATGGGAGGTATTACTAACATAGCACTTCCTATGTGTCTTGAATTTTTCAAAGCACTTTATATATATTAAGCACAATCCTCACAGCGGCCCTATAATTTAAGTACCAATTGGATGTTCATTTTACAGAGGAGAAAATTAAAAGCACAGAGATTAAAACTGTTCAAGGTCACAAAACCACCAAGTAGTAGAGCTGGGATTCAAACTGCAGCAAAGAGTTTATATTACTTTATGTGTTTTGACATTATCGAACCCCCCCCCATGGGAACTTGGTGACTTGCCAGAGAAGTGCACTATACACTCTTTCCTCAAATGTGTCCTTACCTAGAGCCCAATGCTATCAATCTGGTAGTACTATTCTAATTAAAAGGACCTTGCTCTTCAAAGTACTCCAAGTAAACACATTTGCAGAAATATCACATTAATTTTCACATTCTCACAAGACTTGGCAACATAGTTGCATTACCTCAAAGAAAGGTCATCGTTTTACATCCCCCATGTCACTATTTCCCATGAGAACATGGGAAATTAGGCAAGAACACCGTCTAATGAGACAGCACTAGCTGGA